CGCTTTATTTGTCGTTTACTGTTCATTATTTCTAATAAATTAGTAGTTTCACGCAAATTTTTATCCATAAGAATTTTTTTGAGCTGTTTTTATCTGCTCATTTTCTATTTTGAGAAATTCTTAACTTGAATCTGACGTTTGCCGTATACGTGAAGCTTAAACTCTCTGGTGACAAAACAGCTCTCGCATAAATCGAATACACTTAATACACGTGAACGCATAATATACAGAAACATAAGCCACTGCAGAAAGAAAAGCACATTTAGGAGGTATATTTAACGCCCTCTTCAACGCGCATGGTGTCCTCTAAGAAACGAAAACTGCAATAAAAGGCCAGTGTAATTTAAGAAAACGATAATTTCTTCTATTTCAGCACTTGTCCCCAGACGAGCAAGCTTCTCAAGAAGGAGCTTCAAATGAGAGCAGTTCCGTGATACCCCCTAGAAAAAAGTCTCCGCGTAGCAAGTCCTCGTACGACCCGTTTCTTTTGGTCCCTTGCCGGAAATTCCCCTCTCCGACTGCGGTGCCTTTTGACGTTCTTATCCAATCAGAGACCTTGGTGGTAATAGACACGCATGCGCATATATCAACTACGGAGGTGATTGGTCTATTAGGCGGAACCTACTCATATGGGTCAAGGAGATTAAAGGTACTTAATTTGCTACAAAACAGCTCTCTTACTGTGAAGGGTTGTTGAATAGTTGTTTTGTAATTTTTGTTGTGGAGATACCCCCCTATAATACAAGTCGTTGCGCAATGCGATGCGGAACGTAATCATCTTTTATGGGTGGATTGAGGGTTAAACCCGAGCACTAAGGATTATTGCTTAACACTATAAAACATCAACCCAACTGTTCACAACGCGTAACACCGAAATACCCGTGTTTATTATTCATGTAGTATCCCCTAGCTGTCAATCACGAGCATGTCCAAAACCGGAAGCGGATGCACATTTTCTGGTTCAGTGTTTAGTTGTGGTTTACAGTTTTGTTCTGTCCTTTAAAACTGTTACAGTAGTTTATAAATTACATGTGACCGATCGACTCCTTTGATTGACTCAGTGAAAAACGTTATGAGTATAGTCTGTTCGTTATGTTGTATTTTTATCCTGCCCGAGGAAGTACTAATTTTTAAGGCTGTTGATGAATACTGCAAGGAAACTTGTGTGTTTCCCTCCTGAAATATTTTACTATATTAGGGAGCTCGAGCAAAGACGTTTGTGAGTGACGCACGTCAACCGGAAGTGAGGCCCGTGAGTTTGAACCAAACCACTGCCCAATGATGCAAAAAGTCTACTTCCGGTTGACGTCCTTCGCTCAAAACCGCTGTTGCTTAAGTGCCCTATTGTTATGATATTTTGCCGCAGGTCTCCAAGGCGATCCCTTGTAGGAGCTTAAGCACTGGTCTTCAATGTGAAATGGACCCTGTATCACAGACCCAGGCCTCTGAGGACTTGGCGCATCAAGGACTGGCGGTGGTGGGCTGGTACCACTCGCATCCTACATTCGCTCCCATTCCCTCTGTCCGTGATATTGAAACGCAAGCAAAATTTCAGGTAGGAAATGGTGCACTGGTACCACAGGGACCCTACTCAGATAAAGCTTACCCAGCTACTAAGGAGTGGATCCTCTCTTGAGCCGCTAAAGCTAGAACCGCCTTGATTCCCACAAGAGTTCGTGGTGTCTGGTGTCAATTGTCGGATCAGAAAAACGTAACCGGGAAGTGACCTTTTTTTTCGTGGTCAGGGAAAATTTAGGGACTATTTTTTTGTTTTATTGAGTGGCAAACCTGCTTATATATATCCAGCCGGTTTTTGCCGAAGGTTACTCCCAAATACACCTTCCGTCGAAAAGCTTTTTTTCGGCCAAACAACCGTATCTCCAAGGTAGCCATCATAAAAACTAAGAGTGCAACCATTGCTTTTTTCTCTTCTGCTCCTTTCTTCCTCGTCGCTGTTTCTTTTTCTCCTTTTTTTTTTTACTTCGCTGGTGTGATTTTTGAGCTTATTGGGCGCAAAAAATCTGCCTTTGGGCCGTTTTTCACTCAATTGGCTGCAAGTTTCGTTAACAGGTTCGTTTTTTAAAAAATCGGCTAGATATTTATTGTAGAACGTATTCTTTTTGTACAGTGAAACCTCGTTAAAGCGAGCAAATTATGCCAGTCTCTTGGCCCTTCGTTATATCGAGGTTTCACTGTATCGAGGTTTCACTGTATTTTGTTTTCTGTAAAAGGAATGGTTTGGAAAGGGAGGAGCACCGTTTGTTGGCATCATCGTCAGTCCCTACAATTACAGTAACCCATCCAGCCAATCACAGATCAGATGCCTGACAGTTAGCGACGAATGGGAATCTGCTGGCCAGTACAGATTACCTTACCAGTTTGATTACGAAGTTTATGAAGTCGAGGCTGATGAAGATGAGACGGTAGAGCAAGTGAAAGGGATAGCTGACGACTACCGAACATATCCATTGTAAGAAATTACATGAAATCTCT